ACACACACACACACACACACTCACACTCACACTCATTAAGTCTTACAGCAGTGCTGACGGGAAGTCTATACTGGGGAGAGGTCTGGCGGGTAGGCATAGGAGGAGAGCAGACAGGACAGAGAAGACTTGAGTAGATCAATAAAGACGCTGCAGCTGGGAGGTGTAATTAACTCCTGAGAACACCTGATAACCAAAAGTGGAACAGATTAGAGGAACACCAAGCATGAAGCTAATGGCAGAGCATGGGGCCTGGGCAGAGGAGTTTAAGGAACATTCAAAGATGTCTCCATGGAGGACATGATTCTGACACAAGAGAATAAAGGTATAAACTCACCAGAAAGGCCCAGACAGCCACTTGAGAATTCTTTGAGGCAGATAACACTGTACAGGCCCACAGACACCTGACTCTACAGTTCAGTTCATTCTAGAATCTAGGATGCTCTTCCTACCTGGTCTGGCCCAGGCTCCGTCCCTCTGTGAGGGCAGGGCAAGGGTCTCTCTGGATTTACACAGAAACTGCTTCAAGCAGTTGATGGTGTAAGTGCCCACGAGGGTGCTCCTCCCGAAGGCTCTCCAGTCCACCACACAGATGCTCAACGGTGGGTGCAGGAGCTCGTTCTCAGGCAGCTCCTGCAGGAGAAGTGGAGGGAAAATGTCACTGCCTGGGTGGCTCTGCCAGCCGAGACCCCATGTGGAGGCAGGCACAGCTGAATATCCGTCTCTCTTCTCTTTGCCTTGACCTTCTAGTCCCCAGACCAGCTTGGCAGTTTGCCTGAACTCTGGGGGACTGTCTTCCCCAAGCCAGGAAATGAGCGCTAAAACTATGATGGATATGTTCTAATAATTCATGCTGGGTACAAATCCCTAAAAGATTTCAGTTGTAAAATATCTCCCTTTCCTGTATTTCCACGACCACAAGAACCTTCGAGTCAGAAGGCAGTTTAACCAGTCCCAATATGTGAAACAGAGGTCAAGCCATGAAACATGGAGCTGAGGGGACAATGCTCTACACATTTGTCTTCCCTAGTGACCCAAGAGGATCCATGACATCCACTGTGGAGGATTGCAGACACTACACATGCTTTAGTGTCCCCTTTGATCATTTGGGAACACGTTTCTGTGGGGCTGAGCAGGCTGGACAAAGAAACCTTTTTATAGTTAGTTCCAAACCAGAGCAAAAAAATACCAAGTATGCTGAAATATTGAAATAAATAAAAGCACGGGTGTCAAGAGACACAAGTTTATACATGACAACCACTGACATTCTAAACACAAAGGACATTATTTAAATGTGGCCATCAAGGAAGTTTCTATAGAGTTAAGAAGGTCTGTGGCTCGTTCTAAAGACAGCTTCACTTGGTAGACTGGGCTAGACCTGATCTACATTTCTTTCTCTTTTGGTGTGTATCCGCATGGGCACTGGGCATTGAGCCCAGGGCATCACACATGCTAGGCAAGCACCCAATCCCTGAGAGACATCTCCAGCCCTCTCTACTTTTCTTTTTTAGGACAAGGTCTCACTAAGTTGCCCAGGCTAGTCTGGAACTCTCCTTGTAGCCTGGCCAGGCCTTGAACTGCCTTAGTTTCCTGAGTAGGTAGGACAACAGGCCTGCGTCGTGAGAAGGCCTAGCTGAGAAAGCCCAGTGGTTGAGGCAGGCGTGGATGGGTTGGGGGGCTGTACTTCAAAGAACTCTGCGTAGGCAAACGTCCTCTAGCTTTCTCTGATTTATTTTTTGAACAGGTTATCTACTTTTTCTCATTCTGAAAGCCTGGCTTTCCATAATTAGGATACTCATTCAGATGGTATACACCTGGAATCTTGAAGCGTCTCCCCAGGCTAAGTGGGTGAAGGTGAGGAGCCCAGCTGTGGAAAGGGGGCTGAGCAGATGAGGGCGGAGAAGCCCATACCACGTCAAAGGCCTCTGCCTGCACGCTGAAGTTGGGGTTGTTCTTGTAACTCTGGATCACGCAAGACTTCACGCCTCGTCCCCCGCATTCAATGAGAACCTGTGGCCGGTCCACAGAGAGGAGCTGGACCTTCTTCATTTCTCGGACACCCCAGAAGAGGACCTGATGAGAGAGAGGGTGGGCAAAGCCAGAGAGAAGCCTTGTGTATGACCAATGGAAAAGCCAAATGGGACTCCTCGGAGGGACAACGTGGTCTTCCAGATGCAAACCATGCAGCTAGTGGTGGTAGACCCTGTCTTGTCCAGTTCAGCTAGTGGGCTCATCTCTGGGTTACCTGCTTATCCTGCCACACTTCCCCCACACACCATGAGTCCCGTGGGGCAAGCCTCTCCATTTCCTGAGCCGTACCTCGACCCGGTATTTACTCAGCACTGGCCGGATGTTAGAAGGGACAGGATAGATCTGTGTGATGTCTGGTGGGTCAATGGGAGGGAGGCCCTGGAGTCCAGAAGAAGGGACCTGCCACACAAAACAGCCATTAGTGAGAGGCACCTCAGCAAGACATCTTTATTTCATCAGGACCTGGCAGAATACCACCTTCAATCAGTCATTAATGACAAGAACGTTGTCATTGGCAAGCATTTAGTGAGCACTCAGGGAAAGCCATGATGTTGGTAAGACGTGGCTTTCAGTAAACTCCCGGTAGAGAGGGGAAACCCCCACAAGTGTGTAGATGTTCACAGCTTGATAAACCTAACAGACAGAATTGCAACAATGGATGGGAGGAGGACTGTGATCACAGGCTGACTTCTGATACCTAACTCTCACTTCCTTCCGAGAGTCAAGAGCTCCAGGAAGCCCATAGTGCTACGGAATGAGATCATATTTAACGGGATAGAGACTTACTGTTAATTGACAGAGCAGAAAGTAAAAAGTTTTTTGAGTGGGGCCCTTAAGAGAAAATGGGTCGCTTTTGTGCCCTTGGGCACAGTGAAACTCCAGGACCAGGCTTTGCAGAAACATCCCACAAAGAACCTAGACAATCCCACTACAGACAGGGAAGATTTCCCACATGTAAGCCATATTGCCATCTCTTGGAGACCTACCTCGCTGCCCACGTCTGTCAAGCAGCCTTTCCAGACTGGGTCCCAGCTATTGTGGCCATGTTCCTGCCTGCCCTGTGTCCATCGACAGCATTGCATCTTTACAGATAGCAAGTGTGGGAATCGGGTGACCAAGTACAGAAACCAGGCTTACCGGAGTGACCCTATACAAGTCACTTTCCCTCACTGAGCCTCAGACACTTCAGCCCTGCAGGATATTCTGCTAAACACCATTTAGAGGCTGTGATTCAACTCTCTGCGGCTCTTATCTGCCTGCCTGCAAAATCTACAGAGCTTGGCCAAGAAGTCTTTCTTTCTTTCTTTCTTTCTTTCTTTCTTTCTTTCTTTCCTTCATCTCCTTCTCCAAACCCTCAAGCAGTACTGCACACAGTGGCTTCTTGACAAATGTTTACTAGCCGACTGACACATTAGCTCCATATGCTATGCTAGAAACTGCCTGATTGCTCATCAAAACCGGCAGAGCGCAAGCATCCCCCGTTTCATCATTCCAGACATATTCTGGTTGGCCATGGCAGATGTGGTTAAGCTAATTACATGAAAGCCCAGAAAAAGACAAGCAGACGCTACAAACACCAAACAGGCTGGAGATAACGAAGCTGCAGAATGAGCCAGAAAAAGAAGCTGGTACCAGGGCGACAAGTACCACCGTACCCAGACTCCTAGTGGGCCAAGGTGAGTGATGCTGTCTGTCAACATGGCCTCACCTGGAAGGCCAGCTGCTCCTCTGACATCAGTCACAGGGCCACAAAAGACTAAGAGGCACACAGATATCGGATACTGTGTGCTTTCTCTCCTTTGTAGTTCTTAGAATTTATGTAGTTATGTAAAGCCTTGTGTGTATATAAGACTTGGAAGTGAGACTGTCTAGGTGAGCAAAGGAGACTATGGGAAGGGGAGAGAGAAGAAAGGAGGGAGCATTGTGTGTTTGAATGAAAGTGTTCTTATGTAAACCAGCATAAAATAAAAAAACAGACCGTGGCGGGGAAGCAGCTGCCTATGGATGTGCTTTGTATTCTATTTTCATTAGACAGAACAGCTTTAATTTGGCATAGAACAACTATGCATATTTAAAATGTATAAAGTAGAATGGCTTTTACGTGGAATGATCAGATGGGGGCACTTGGCCTACCTATCACTTCCGGCACCTATCACTTCCGGCACCTATCACTTCCGGCACCTATCACTTCCGGTACCTATCGTTTCTTTGTGTGTAGGGGTGGATATTCAAACCCCTCGATTTCTGCTCATCGTGTTTGTCCTACTGCTATGGGGACATTAGAAATCAGCCCTCCTACCCCAATGAAAGCATTAATTATTTTTTCCCCAGCCCCACCCCCTCACTCTTACCAGGCTCTAAGAACATTATTGGATATGCTTGTTTACAAAGCATCATGTATGGGCCTGCTGACAGGACCCAACGTTGGTTCCTAGCACCCACGTGAGAGCTCACAACTATGTGCAACTCCAGTTCCAGGGGGTCAAATAACCTCTTCTGGTCTCTATAAACACCAAACATGCAGGAGGTACCCATACATGGACTCGGACAAACATTCATATATGAAAAAATAAAAATAAATTCTTTTTTTTTAAAAAAAGGCATATTTAAAAATTTTTTTTTTT